CCGACAGCTAACATTAAATTAAATGGAGAAAAACTCAAAGCCATCCCACTAAAATCAGGAACAAGACAAGGATGTCCACTCTCTCCATACCTCTTCAATATAGTGCTTGAAGTTCTAGCAATAGCAATAAGACAACAAAAGGGGATCAAGGGAATTCGTATTGGAAAGGAAGAAGTTAAGCTTTCGTTGTTTGCAGATGATATGATAGTATACATAAGCAACCCCAAAAACTCTACCAAAGAACTCCTACAGCTGATAAACACCTTTAGTAATGTGACAGGATACAAGATCAACTCCAAAAAAACAACAAAATAGACAAACCTTTATCCAAACTTACCAAAAGCAGAAAGAATATTCAAGTTAGCAAAATCAGAAATGAAAAGGGGGACATAACAACAGACAGAGAGGAAATCCAAAGAATCATCAGGTCATATTTCAAAATCCTATACTCCACAAAATTAGAAAACTTAAAGAAAATGGACAACTCTCTGGATAAATACCACTTACCAAAATTAAATCAAGACCAGATAAGCAAATTAAACAGACCTATAACTGCTAAAGAAATAGAAACAGTCATCAAAAGTCTCCCAACCAAAAAAAAAAAAATCCCAGGACCACATAGTTTCAGCTCAGAATTCTACAAAATTTTCAAAGAAGAACTAATACCAATACTCCTCCAATTGTTCCACACAATAGACACATTGGCAAACTCTTTTTATGAGGCTACAATTAATCTGATACCCAAACCACAGAAAGGCATTACTAAGAGAGAGAATTATAGACCAGTCTCGCTCATGAACATTGATGCAAAAATACTAAATAAAATACTGGCAAATCGAATCCAAGAACACATCAGAACCATCATCCACCATGATCAAGTCAGCTTCACCCCAGAGATGCAGGGATGGTTCAACATATAAAAATCTGTCAACGTAATCCGCCATATAAACAAGCTGAAAAATAAAACCCACATGATCATCTCATTAGATGCCGAAAAAGCTTTCGACAAAATGCAACATCCCTTCATGATAAAGGTCTTGGAGAGAGCAGGGACACAAGTACCATACCTAAACATAATAAAGGCAATATACCAGCCAACATCAAACTAGAGAGAAACTCACAGTGATTCCACTGAAATCAGGAACAAGATAAGGTTGTTCACTTTCTCTAGTTTTTGAGGTCCTAGCTAGAGCAATAAGACACCAAAAGGAGATCAACTGGATACAAATTGGAAAAGAAGAAGTCAAATCTCACTATTTGCTGATGATACAATAGTTTACATAAGCGACCCCAAAAATTCTACCAAGGAACTTCTACAACTCATAAACACTTTCAGTAATGTAGCAGGATACAAGATTAACTAAAAAAAAAAAAAACCAGTAGCTCTCCTTTACACAGATGATAAATGGGCTGAGAAAGGAATCAGAGAAATATCATCCTTCACAATAGCCACAAATAACATGAAATATCTCAGAGTAACGCTAACAAGTAGAAGACTTGTATGACAAGAACTTTAACCTTTGAAGAAAGAAATTGAAGAAGACACCAGAAAGTGGAAAGATCTCCTATTCTCTTGGGTAAGCAGAATTAACATAGTAAAAATGGCAATCTTACCAAAAGCAATCTACAGATTCAATGCAATGTCCATCAAAATCCCAGCAAAATTCTTCACTGACCTTGAAAGAATGGTACTCAACTTCATATGAAAAAGCAAAAAACCCAGGATAACCAAAACAATCATGTACATAAAAAACTTCTGGAGGCATCACAGTCCCTGACTTCAAACTCTACTACAGAGCTACACTACTGAAAACAGCCTGGTATTGGCATAAGAACAGACAGGAAGACCAATGGAACCGAATCAAAGACACAGATATTAATCCACACACCTTAGAATACTTGATTTTTAACAATGAAGCAAAAAATATAAAATGGAAAAAACAAATTATATTTAACAAATGGTGCTAGCATAACTGGATAACAACATGTAGAACAATGAAAATAGACTCATATCTATTACCATGCACAAAACTCAAGTCTAATGGATCAAAGACCTCAACATAAAGCCAGCCACACTGAACCTCACAGAAGAGAAAGTGGGAAATACACTTGAATGCCTTGGCACAGGAGTCCACTTCCTAAATATAACCCCAGTAACACAGACATAGACAGAAACAATTAAAAAATGGGACCTCCTAAAACTGAAACACTTCTGTAAAGCAACTGACATGGTCAACAAAACAAAACGACAACCTACCAAATGGGAAGAGATCTTCACCAGCCACACATCAAACACAGAACTGATCTCCAAAATATACAAAGAACTCTAAAAACTGGTCATCAAAAGAACAAATAATCCAATACAAAAAAAATGAAGTACAGACCTAAACAGAGAACTCTCAACAGAAGAATCTAAAATATCTGAAAGAAATCTAAGGAAATACTCAACGTCCTTAGTCATCAGAGAAATGCAAATCAAAACAACTCTGAGATTCATCTCACACCTGAAAGAGTGACCAAGATCAAAAACACTAATGACAACTTATGCTGGAGAGTTTTTGCGGTAAAGGGGTCACTCCTTCATTGATGGTGAGAGTACAATCTGGTACAGCCCCTTTGAATATCAGTATGGTGAATCCTCAGAAAAGTAGGAAACATCCTTCCTCAAGACCCAGCAATACCACTTTGGGGTATATATCCAAAGGATGCTCAATCATTCCACAAGGACATGTGCTTAACTATGTTTATAGCAACACTGTTTGTTATAGCCAGAACCTGGGAATAATCTAGATGCTTCTCGACCAAAGAATGGATACGGAAAATGTGGTCCATTTACACAATGGAATACTATAAAACAGAAAAAAAAATAATGACATCTTTAAATTTGCAGGCAAATGGATGGAGCTAGAAAACATCATATTGAGTGAGGCAACCCAGACCCATAAAGACAATTATCATATGTACTCATTCATAAGTGGTTTTTAAACATAAAGCAAAGAAATTATTCTACAAATCACAATCCCAGAGAACCTAAACAACACTTAATAAATGGGCCCTCATGAAACTAGAAGTGTCTGTAAGGCAAAGAACACTGTCAATAGGAAGAAACAGCAACCTACAGAATGAGAAAAAAAATTTCATCAACTCCATATATGATAGAGGGTTGATTTCCAAAATATATAAAGAACTCAAGAAACTAGACATCAAGTGCCCAAAAATTCAATTAAAAATGTAGTTCAGATCACCCTGCTTTGTAACTCCT